GACAAAATTTGTGAAGGAGAAAACATGTAGGTCCAGTTGTATTTATAAAGGGCTTAAGGAAAGACACTACATATCAAATAGATGGTTAATAGAAATCCAGAATTTCCTTTCAAATTTCAGTTTTTATATCAGCATCTCTAGTTTAAAGGAAGAAAGCCTGCTACCATCAGGCATATGAGGTGTGTCCTAATATGGTTGGTGAGTCCCTGGAACCTCAAGTCAATGCCCAAATGCAAATTCTACACCAGCAGCCCAGAGGACATGTAAGGAAATTGTGTTGGGCAGGGTCAATGGCCTTCCCTTCAGATGAGATGACTTCTACAAAGGTTATCACAAACAAAATGCCTACGGAGAGCTAGGTAGGAACATGAATGCAGTAGAAGACACATAATGCCAAATTGCTTGAACTACGATCCAGCATGACACCTGCTTAATTACATTTTCTTTTACCTTTTTTTTTAAAAAAATGGAATGTAAATTTCATGCTGAAAAATGTATCATGGCCTTGCCTGCAATCCATTTGCCCTGACTTACACCAGGGACTTGGTCCCTACCTACATTCTAGCTTCTTCTCCCAACCTTCTTTCCCCCAGTCAACTTTAGCCTCTTTTAGTTACTTTAACACCATGCTGTTTGCCTCTGGGCCTTTGCATAAGCTGTTCCCTCTGCTAGAAACAGGTTCAGTCAATCTCAGTTGGTCTTCAACTTGCCAACTCCTGTTCATCTTTCAGGTCTCCACTCAGATGATACTGCCTCTAGGTTGTATTTGTGCCCCTCCCAAAATACCATATCCCCTGTTGTGACACCTAGGACACCTTACTTTAATGGATGATATCTTCGTTTCCTCCCCCATTAGGCTCTATAGAAACAGGGACAGTATCTCTTTTGGTCACCGTTATACCCACTGCTTAGAACCATGCCTGGCCCATAGGGAGCACTGTTTAAATAGATGTTGGATAAGTGTTGGGAAAGAGGGAGGCAGAGAGGAAAGACTAATCAAGGTAACTTACACCACAGTATTTAAGTGTGTAGCTTCAGGGGAGGGAGAGAGGGAGGTGATTTCTTAATTCTTGAGCCTTCATCTCAACGTTTTCACTAATAAAGGAGAAAAAGAACAAGCAAGTTGCACCGTGTACTAATACTCTGACAGAAGTATATGCAGGCCCCTGTGGGAGCACCCCACTTTGCAGGGGGAAGGAAGGAAACAGAGAGAAATGTCGCCAAGGCTGAGTCTTGAAAGATAAGCTGGAGTTTTCCAGGGGACCAGGGTGGAGGACGGCACTCAAAGCAGATGAAACCATCTGGACAAAGGTCATGAGATGTGAGAGTATGGGTACATTCAGTTCACATAGATCGGTGTGGTTAGAGGAAAGGGGATAAGAGATGGTACGAGGAGATGACATCAGAAAAGTCCCCAGGGGTTAAAGTGTGAATGAGCTCAGGACCTCACGGGCTGCATAAGGAGAGTAGACTGCCACAAGGGATTAGCAGCCACTGAAAGATTTTAAGCAGGGCAGTAACAAGAAAGCATAGTAGTATAGCTAGCTGCTAAGTTGGCAGCAGGGAGAGGTTAGAGGCAAGGAGATTGGTCTGGAGGCTACTGGGAAGATCAAGGTAGGAAATAATGAGGACCTGAAGCAAGGCAGTGGCAAGGGATGGGGTGTTACCATTGCAGTTTTTATAACAGGAGTATTTTTTGGTGAATATTTTGAAGTGCTCCCCGACTAGAGAGCAATCTGATCTGGTGAAGGTGGAAGACAACTGAAGCAAATAAAATCTTAGAGGTTGATAGCCAAAAGAAACTCAAGGAGAAAACTCTTCATGAGTCGAGGCACCTGGGTGGCTCAGATGGTTAAGCGTCTGCCTTCGGCTCAGGTCATGATCCCAGGGTGCTGGGATCGAGCCCCGCGTCGGGCTCCCTGCTGGGCGGGGGAGCCTGCTTCTCCCTCCTCCTACTTCTCCCCCCTGCGTGTGCTCTCTCGCTCTCTCTGTCAAATAAATAAATAAAATCTTTAAAAAGAAAACAAAAGAAAACTCTTCACGAATGGAAATACGATTATAGTGTGTTACTCTGCTCTGCAGTGAATAATATTTACATAGTCTTAATCTTGTTGATCCTGATTATTGGTGCTCACTTCTAGAGCCAACCCGTAAACAAAGCTGGGAGGATGGAATTATAGTCTCAGAAAAGATGTAAATACTATGAACCTAGACAACATAAAGTGGGGATAGTGACTTTTGGGAGTAGATAGGGGAAGAACAAGGGTGGGGATCAAAATTGATAGGTCAGGAGGTAGCAGGAAAAGCACATTATTTGGTGATAGAGAGGCGACTGTTAGAAGAAACAGATTTCAAAAACTTGAAAGTGATCGCCTCCAGGCGGCAGGTTTAGTTGTGAAGAGGGAAGGGGAGCAGAACTGTTGATTTTCATTATAAACTCTTTTGTATTATTTGATTTCTTTTTCTCAGGTGCATGAGTCCTCTGGTTAAAATGTTTTAAAATTTTTTTAAATGCATCTGTCCAGATGATATTTCTGTTTTGGTAGAGACATCATACACAAAATCTGAAAAACAAAGCCTGTAAGATGAATTAGGGATAGCCTCCCCAAGGTAATTCCCTGGGGTATTGGGTCACTTTCCTATTAAGAATAAGTATATTCAGTTCAGTTATCACAAGTTTAAGACAAGTAAGCTTAAAGGCCATCTCATCTTGTGATTGAAGGGCACAGAAATCAAGCAGCAAACATGAAATGTGGTTTGCATATTAAATCAGTGCCTTTTAAATTTTTTGACATTGGAGATGCCTGGGTGGCTCAGTCGGTTAAGCTCCTGCCTTCGGCTCAGGTCATGATCCCAGGGTCCTGGGATCGAGTCCTGCATCAGGTTCCGTGCTCAGCAGGGAGCCTGCTTCTGCAGCTCCCGCTGCTTATGCTCTCTTTCTCTCTCTCTCTGGCAAATAAATAAATAAAATATTTTTTTTTAAAAATTTTTTGATGTTGGTCTACAGTACAAAAATATATTCGTGACTCAGTACCCACACACCCACATAACTGACACAAAACTTTAAAAAAAATAATACTTACCTCTTACTATGTGTGATATACTCTGAAAACTTATATTTCATTCTACTTTAATTTTTTAAAATGTTGGTCACTTCAAATGATTTTAACAACCCACTACTGTATTGTGACCTACAGTTGGAAAAACATGCTAATCAGTCCTGTTTTTTCTCAGAGCAGAAAATGTGCTTACAAAATTTGGAGCTTCCTTCTCAGATGAGCTGAACTGTCCTAGGGGAACTATTTGTTCCTGTTGTGTTAAAATATATATACGTACGTGTATATATAAAGTTGCCTTCTATCATCATTGTTAGTTAGCATGGCTACCTTGCTTTTGTTTCTTGGCTCCTACCTTAAAATTTTCTTTTTTTATTTTTCATCACTGGGACACATATATTGGGAATAACCAAATTCATTTCTGGAGTATTTTGAGATGTATACCAGACCCGCATGTAAGTAACGCACTTACATATCTTGGTTTTTATCCACGTGTCCATTTGTTTGTACAGATTTCAACCAACCTTTTGTTGCTAGGAAACCATTAACACCCAGCCTTCCCTCAAATCTTGGAATCTTGTGATATTTTCAAATCTAGAAAATTCCATGTTTAAAATTGTGTAACTGTAAGCATGTCTACGCATTTCAGCAAAATTTATACTGAAAACAAAATTAATATAAAGTCTACTGTACTAATAGAACTTTACTGGACTAATTTAATTCATTTGGACTTTCTTTCCTTATTAAGAACTACAAGATGCTATTGAAGAGGTGCTGCCAAGCCTGAAAAAAGATAATGTGTCCATCTATTATGTGAGCAGAACTTCTAACACGGATGGGGTCGACTCTTTACTAGACAAAGTAGATGAAGTGTCAACAGAAGCTATTCCAGAGTCATGGAGGTCTGAAGTCACTTTTTCCACTCCTGCCTTATACATTTATACTTCTGGAACCACAGGTAAAAATAAAGAAAGGATTCTCAAAGAAATGGACTTATCCTGAAGCAGTTAAATGTTAGGTTAGGTTTTCAAATGTTCTTTTCCTTTGGCAAAACTTATCAGATAACTAATACTTTAGAGGATTTAGCTCTTTGCCTGTGGGAACTGGTCTTATTTCATAGCACATGATCCCATTTGGGTTTCTCCAAGCTATGCATATTTCCCCCTAGTTGGTATATAGAACAGAGAAAGAAGTTAACCAAGAAATACAAAAATAGTTATGATAATGGATGAAATTTGGCACTGAATAGGCTTTTGGAATTTTTTAAATGATTGTTGGATTTTGATTATCTTATATCCCAAGTCCATACATAATGTATAACCAATTAAAAGTGAGACACCAAAGAAGATGATAGGACAATAACGGAGTTATATTTACATTAATGTTTTGACTGCTATCTTCCCAAGCAACGCTGACTTGGAGCTGTTTGGTGCTGTGGGTATAGGATGGCTCTAGCCCAGGGCCTGAAATACTGTATTTCACCAAATCTAGGATACCTTCAACTGTAAGCTGCAGCATAATTTTATGAGCCACTAAGAAAAAACACTGCCAATTAATAGTGTTATTGGAACAGCTATATGGGACAGGCAATATTAAAGATAAAATTACTAGGCACGCTCCTATAAGCTTTATGGTCTTGTGTTCATACAATTCTCCCACCATCCATAAGATGGGTACCATTCTTATTCCCATTTTACAGATCTAGAAACTGATGCTTAGAGAGGTTAAGAACTTCTCAAGGTAACTTGTCAGGATTCACCTTGGTAGGCTGACTCCACAGCTCATACATCTGACCTCTCTGCCACAATATTGCCCAATTCTTCCACTTAACAGATATGTGGTGTCTGCCTACTCTAGGCCAGGGAAAACATTATCAAAATGTAATAATATGAGGCCTTAGGGATATATTTAAAAGTAGGGCAGGAAGCCAGCACCAGCATGCTGATCATTATTATTAGTATTGGAAAATTGAACATGTGAATCTTTTCTCTTTTGATTAAAATTTTAATTTAATTTAAGCAGGTAATGCATGCACGCATT